TCGGTGCCGATCCCCGCTCTGACAACTGCCGGTTCTCGGCAGTACTTTCCTCACGATCTGACAGCGTGAGGAAAGTGCAGCCGAGAACCGGCACTTGCATTTCCCTGTGATCAGCGTGTCATTGGACACCGCTGATCACGTGGTAAAAGGCCGCTGTGATTGGCCTTTTACCACATCACATGATCAGCTGTGTCCGTAGGACACAGCGATCACGGAGATTGCCGGGTGCGCGCCCCCTGGGGCGTGCAGGAGAGCGCGTTCTGGGAGGACGTCATATGATGTCCACTCAGAACTGGCCGGCCGCAGTGCAGCCGTCATTCGGCTATCTGCGGTCGGCAGGTAGTTAATAGGCCAAGCTGTCCTGAAAAAAATGGCAGTTAGAAGGTTGAGACAAGCCATTTTAGGTGGAACTAAAGTGTGGTAAAACAAAATTGTAAAGCAGGCTGACTTTTTAGGACAGAAAGTCATGTCCATGTGTCTTCTGCAGTAAATCAAAAACTTACCTGCCTGTTGACAGTCTCCTTTAGAATGAACACTGAGCTGATCATGTGCAGTTTAGGGGACATTCTTCTGTACAGTGCCTGTGTGTTGGGGTAACTGAATTCCCGTGCATTTGTGAGAGTTATGTCATCCTGCTCAGGCCAATCAAGACAGAGGAAGAAGAAGCCGGAGAGAAGATGCTGGCAGGGGATGTCAGATCACCGGAACGGAAGTATTTATTGCAGAGTTTAGTTTCACTTCTACAGTGACAGGGGTGTTTAAAATGGTCAGCATTTATTTCTTTAAAAACTTTATCCCAAAGAAAAAAAAAAAAATGTTGCTGTAACTGCTTATCTGGAGTTCTGCTTTAATTTGTTAGTGCGTGCCATCTACATCTTCCAGTGCATTGAACACTTGGGACAGGCATTTTACTCATCCTTGCTACTCAAGGGGAGCAAAGGAAAGGTATATGTTGCTGGGTGGGACTAAAGCATACCTGTGGTTTTGCCCTGGTTGAAAAAAAAGCACAGGTTTGCTTTAACTGCTTGCCACCCACCCACAGTACATGTACTGCGGACAGGTGGCACAGTCAACCTAGGTGACATACTGATACACCGCCCACCGCCACCTGGTTTCGGGTGCACATGCACGCACCCTCTGCTGACGCGTGCTGTGATTGGATACAGCACGAGTTTATCAGCAGGTTTCAGCCAATGATTTTGTCTGAAACTTGCTGATAGGCTGTGTCCAATCACAGCACAGAGTTCTGTGTTTACAAAGAAGAAATTGGATTTTTTATTGGACATGTTTTGTAACAGAAAATATTGTATTTTAAGTATTTTGTTATTTATATAATACAAAAATAAAAAAAAACCAAGTGGTGAGCAAATACCAACAAAAGAAAGCTCTGACTATAAATTTCATCTGGGTACAGTGTTGCATGGCAGAGAAATTGCCAGTTAAAGTAGCACAGTGTTGACTAGCAAAAAATTCCCTGGTACTGAAGGGGGAAAACCTTCTGGAGGTCAATTGGTTAAAGAGATTTTTAATGAGGCTTACAATATTGCTTTTGTATGGTATATGTTTGTATAGTCCTACATCAAATGTAAAAGAGGTTATATACATGTATATTTTACTAGAAACAAAGGAAAAAATCTACGCATTTAGTAAAGATATGGAGCATGTTACACTAGAATTTTTTTTTCTTTTAAAGTCAGTTAGCGACAGCTAATGCAGTTATTGTATACAAGACTCAAATCATACGTATTTCTAGTCACTTGCCTATCATTTGTCTGTTCAAGGCATGAGTGTGAAGAGCAGCCTCCTCTGTAGACGCTGCCAGTAACACAAGGCAAAGCATATTTATTTTCTGAATCATCGTGTTGATCAGAGTCTATTGAAAGTGCATGCAAGTGCATATATTAAGCCAAGTTGAATTGCAGAGAGTTGAATTGGCTGGATAATCCTCTGATGTACACTGAGTGCATTAAATTGGCTTAACATACGTGAGTCATGGGTTCTGACATGTAATAAGTTATCATTACCATTTTTCTTTCATAGTTTAGGGACAAATGTGGAAGGTTCTATATTCCATCAATGGACCTCAGTGGTGGGATTCCCCCACTAAGCCAGCATGACCATGAAAGACAAAGTCCATCTGGTGTAATTAAATGTTGTACCCCACCACCAAAAAATGCTGAATTTACAAGTGTTTTCTTTAGGATCAGACACCAACAAAGAAAGCCATGGGACCCTGAAGAAGACATTCATGCCTCCACTATATTAAATATACACACAATTAAAGAAGTTGTATTTTCTGCATTCATGCCTGTTCCCTATGGCTCATATAAGACATGAATGGTTATATTTGCCTTCATAAATCCCACACCCAATCTTGAGGTCAACTTTGTATTTCTGCAGTGAAGTAATAAACCATCTGGTAGGTGGAACTTACCAGAGAAACACTGCGGAGGGGGTGACCAGAGAGAGAGCTGGACATAGTAATGGAGTAGGTTAGGCCAGGGGCGGACTGACCATTTGGAAACTCAGGCACTGCCCGAGGGCCCAGAGTCAGTAGGGGGCCCCATGAGATGTCCCTGGTACCTTTTTCATAGGCTTTTTTGAGTTTGGGCAAGGACACAGGGGCCCCATGATCCCCTATTGCTCGGGGGCCCCATGAGTTGTCAGTCCGCCCCTGGGTTAGGCAGCAACATGTTTTACCAGGACTGAAAGTGATGGGAAAATCCAAAATTTGGGATTACCCTTAGAACAGGAATGGAGAGGAAAGCTTCCAATGGGCACCCTTGTTACTATGAAAACTATCTCAAAGATTTCTTTTGCTTTGTAGAGATTTTCACTAATTGCCTGTTGTATCTTGAAGTGGAACTTCACTCCCTCCCCCAGCTTCCCCCACCTGTCAAAAGACATACTCATCTTCCAGTGAATCAAGTGTCCTGCAGAGACATGTGCAGAACGAAAAAATGTGTTTTGTTTTGGATTGATTTTGTTAAGTTACTAATTTCATTTAACTGAACTTGTTAAATTCAGAATTCATTTCATTTATTTGTTTTTGATTAGATTTCGAATAAAAAAAATATCGGACAAAACATTTTGATTAGGTTTCAAATAAAAAAATATCAGCTGAAATTTGATTAGAATCAAACATCAGAAATTTAGATAGGTACTACTAATTCTTCATATACGGTTTTAATATTTGTGATTTTATCAGATAAAAATAAGTTTTCACAAAATGAAAGCCTCCATTCTGGGCCCAGTAGAATATGTTACATGAAATTAAAGGTAAGTTATCATCATTATCACATAGACAAGAAGAGTATCAACAAACATGTGCTGCTGAACCCCAACCATCTTCATGCTATTCATGAAATATAACTAAATTTTTCAATCGGAAATGATGGCAGCTAATTTATGCAATGTAGAAAAATTGGTATTATTTATTTATTTATTCAGGTACTTATATATTCAATTTACGCAGCGCTTTACACATATATATATATTGCACATTCACATCAGTCCCTAACCCTCAAGGGGCGTACAATCTAAGATCCCTAACTTACATTCATACATACACATATTAGGGCCAATTTAGACAGGATCCAATTAACCTACCAGCATGTCTTTGGAGTGTGGGAGGAAACCAGAGTACCAAGAGGAAACCCACGCAGTTGGTAGTCTATTAATATTGCTAACATGAAACTCACATGATCAAAGATAGTTACCTTTTACTGTTTCCTGCAGCCTTCTGGGATATGCAATAGGAATATCCCAAGAGGCTGTGGGATCAGGACATGTCACGCTTTCCTAGCTGAGAATAGTGGTGGTGAGTAGGGCCACCAAAAATATATTTTTATTGGGGGGGTGCTGGAACCAGGGACTTAAAGTTTGTTTGTGGAGTGAAGTTACACTTTAGGGACAGGAAGTAAAGGACCATCCCCTAATCTATCCAAAATGAAAAAAAAAAGTCTTGCTTTCAAATATACTTTAAAATGTGGCCAGCCATCACCAGTTTACTTCTACGTCTGGGCCAATAAAGCTATGGACTAAATATTATGAAATGAATACAAGGCTACATCTTGGGTTATCCGAAAGACTCCAAGAAGGTCAATATGACTGATCAAAAATATGAACATGAGAAATTGTAGCTGAGCAAGGCTTAAATAGCAGCTAGAGCATGAATATCTTTCATATGATGTAAACTGGTTAGTGAAGGTCAACAGAAATGACGGTTAGCCAAGAACCGTTTCTCCAGCACCGTCTAATACCACTGTGTGTTTTAGATCTCCAGGGTCTTACTAAATATGATTAACTCAGCAAGGTGAACCAGACGTTTCGGTCACACTATTTATATTCTCTCAGCATTTTAAGACACGTTATAGGTATAGAGGTCACTTAGAACATCTTTCGTAAGCTTCAGAATCCTATAGAACACACAAAGGTTTTTTTTGTCCTAAGCAGTCGGGGAATTCAGAAAAAGTTGTTTAATCAGTGCAGTGTACAGCGCAATCTACAAGGTCACTCATCTGAAGATGTCTTACCGGAGAACTCCAGTCAAAATTACACTCGCCAGTAAACTCACACGGGGTCATTTTATGTCAGTCTGGGGTTTCTGTTGTAAATGTGAGCTTTAGAAATCCTCACACTGAAATTTAAAGAATAAAAATACCCAAGAGCCGAAATTGAATGTATTGTAGCTCACCATCCCTTAGATGTGATGGCTGCATTCGTTTTCACTTTTCAAGCCAATAAACATTTTTAGCAAATACAAAAAATTCCGGTTGATCCTGCTAGATATGCAGCATCCTTACACTTCCTGTGAGATTAACGGAAAGAAAAAAACAATATTATCTTCCTTCTGAAAATGAAAAATCCCTACCCCCATATAATGGAGATGAACAAAGGCAGACATGATTTGAGCCAAGCCTGGGTAATAATCATGGCTTTCTCCATGGATAAATGAGCATAGCCACCCAGGGACAGTAATGCAGGCCATAGACGGGTCGAAAATCGGCCGATTTTTCGGGCGAAAATAAAATCGGCCGATTTTCGGATCGTTAGTGGGCGATTTGGTCGGCCGTTTTTCGGTATTTTGGCCGTTTTTGTTTTTCGGTAAAGTTGGAAAAAAATTTTGCCGATCGGCCGATTTTCGCGGCAATTAGTGGGCAAATCGGCCGATTTTTTACCGATAAAAAATCTGCGCATGAGCAGTGACCTGCAAGAGGAAGACAAAAAGAAGAAAAAGAAGAAGATGAAGATGAAGAAGAAGAAGAGGAAGAAGAGGAAGAAGAGGATGAAGAAGAAGAAGAGGATGAGGATGAAGAAGAAGAGGATGAGGATGAAGAAGAAGAAGAAGAGGATGAGGATGAAGAAGAGGATGAAGAAGAAGAAGAAGAGGATGAAGAAGAAGAGGATGAGGATGAAGAAGAGGATGAGGATGAAGAAGAAGAGGATGAGGATGAGGAAGAAGAAGAGGATGAGGATGAAGAAGAGGAAGGAGAAGAAGAGGAGGATGAAGAAGAAGGAGGAGGAGGAGGAGGATGAAGAAGAAGAGGATGAAGAAGAAGAAGAAGAGGATGAGGATGAAGAAAAAGAAGAAGAAGATGAGGATGAAGAAGAAGAAGAGGATGAGGATGAAGAAGAAGAAGAAGAAGAAGAAGAGGATGAGGATGATGATGAAGAAGAAGAGGATGAGGATGAGGATGAGGAAGAAGAAGAAGAAGAAGAAGAAGAAGGAGGAGGAGGATGATGATGAAGAAGAAGAGGATGAGGAAGAAGAAGAAGAAGAAGAAGAAGAGGATGAGTATGAAGAAGAAGAGGATGGGGATGAAGAAGAGGATGAGGATGAAGAAGAAGAAGAAGAAGAAGAAGAAGAAGTAGGATGAAAATAAGAAGAATTCCAGTCCAGCAAAAAGTGTCTCTGCAGAGAGCTCCGCTATTTCTGACAGTTCTCTGACAGTTCCTTGACATTTACAGCGGTTGAAACATTGTATCTATTTGTTTCCGAATAAAAACATCTGTATCCTAAATGGAAACAAATAGATACATTGTTGCAACTTCTATAAATGTCAAGGAACTGTCAGAGAACTGTCAAAGAAATAGCAGAGCTCTCTGCAGGGACACTTTTTGCCGGCTCTAGACGGGTAGAAAATCGGCCGATTGTTTTTACCATTGATGGTAACGTCGGCCACTTGAACAACCGATTTTTTGTTTTTTAAAAGAAAAATCTGCAGTGTTTCTCCCCATCTATGGCCTGCATAAGGCTGGCCATGCATGGGTAGATTTTCGAATGATTTTTCATTCGAAAATGGGACCTGAGAATAATTGGTTGATTTTCACTCTGTTAGTGGAGCAATGGCAGCGGCCAACTTTCGTGGTTCCTCCCCATTTCGTTTAATGAGCATGCTGGAAAATTTGTGAAAAGCGACCGATTTTCGAAATCATTGGTGGCACCATTGGATTACAGAACGAACAATGTTTTCAATTTTCGATCGAAAAATCGTTCGGATTTCGACCCATGTATGACCTGCTTTAGTGTTTTATTTGCAGAATTAGCAGGTGAAATAATGGGGGAAAAAGACTGAAAAAAGGGCAGTCAATAACAAGCAGTAACACCTTTCCTCACCTCGTAGATGCAAGCAGGGGTGGACTGACCATTTGGAAACTCGGGCACTGCCCGAGGGCCCGGGGTCAGTAGGGAGCCCCATGAGATGCCCCTGGTACCTTTTTCATAGGCTTTTTTGAGCTTGGGCAAGGACACAGGGGCCCCATGATCCCCTATTGCCCGGGGCCCCCATGAGTTGTCAGTCCGCCCCTGGATGCAAGTATACATGCCATTTTCATATGTGCAGCTGCAGCGTGGGGAATGCCTCCACCACCTATGATTGGCTGTTAGCTTTGACAGCTTCCCAACGGGATAGATCAGGCACCTGAGCTCATCTCTAATGTAGACCTTTCCAGCTTTTGTAAACTCATTGCTAAGTGGAAGAGTCTGCCTTCATTCTAAACACCTGATTAGTCTCAGTAATGTAATTAAAGTGCACCTGTGCCCAGCCTACGGACTTTAAACTATTTACTATTTGTAAGCAGCACATGAGCTTTAGAAGGCATCCCTGACCCCTTGTTCACTTTCATTTTCACGAAGTTTTCAATTTTTCAATTTAGACAGGAGACCATTAACCTACCAGCATGTCTTTGGAGTGTAGGAGAAAACTGGAATACCTGTAGGAAACCCATGCAGGCACACAGAGAACCTGCAAACTCTGTGCAGGTAGTTCTGTGGTTGGGATTCGAACAGAAAACCCTAGTGTTGTTAATCAGAAGGGCTAACCCTTAGCCACTGTGGTATTACCAAAACTGAAATTCCTTTTGCATAGGATGAGCCCTTTCAGCAAGCTTTGTCTTCATGCCCTGCACAGACTTCATGGAAAAGCAATAAGATAATCACACATGCAGAAAATGCCCCCAACAATGATGTTTGGGGGTGCTCTGTACACAAACAACCTTCACAATGAACCTAGTGTGGCTATGAAAGCAAAATGTGAATCTGTTGGCAATGTTTAAAAATTATCTATTGATGTATTTTTTTGCCACCAGTGACTTCAGTCCCCTGTGCACACCCTTTGCACCTGCTGCTAGTGATGAATAGGGTTCCCTGCATGGTGCACAATCTGGTGTAGCTCTGCATAGAAACCAATCAGCTTCCAGGTTTTATTGTCAAAGCTTAATTAAACAAGCTGAAGGTAGAAGCTGATTGGCTACCATGCACAGCTGCACCAGATTCTGAATGATAAATCTCCCCCATAGTGTCCAGTGGAGAATACAGACATCTGCCACACTGAAAGTGAAGACTTCAGCCCCGGATGTATCTGTGCAAAAGCACAAAGATTATTAATGTATATTTTTACAGGTGTTTTATTTTAGCATTTCAAAAGTGGAAGAAAAGGCTAAGTCTAACTGTTTCTAGAAATGTTCCCTTTCCACTCCTCATACCTGTCTTGTATACCCTTGTTTCTATACTTACCTATTTTTAATCTGATATGGTCCAGTCCATTTGATCTTGTAGCTCCGACTCAGGGAGTGCTTGACAATGGCTGGAAATTCCAGGAGTGATGTCACCCATAGGCTCCCATGGCCTAGTCATTGTTAGCACTGCCTCCTTTTCCCTGCAGCAGCCATTCAATGACACAGGGAAGCTGTAGCTGCAGGATCACATGACCAGACTGGAGCAGAGTAAAAATAGGTAAGTATGTGGGGAGCTGCAGCGTGGTGTGGAGGCAGTAAACACTTAGGGGTTTATTTACTAAAGCTGGAGAGTCCAAAATCAGACTCCCTTCTGCATAGAAACCAATCAGCTTCCGGGTTTCATTGCCAAAGCTTCATTGAACAAGCTGAGGTTAGAAGCTGATTGGTTTCTATGCAGAAGGGATTCTGATTTTGGACTCTCCAGCTTTAGTAAATAAACCCCTTAGAGTCCTGTTGTAGTAAAAGAACTGTATTGAAGTTAAAGTTAAAATAGGCAGACCTACCCGATGTGAGACAACCCGACCAAGCGCACTCACAGAATGTTGTAGGAAAGAATATACAGTAGGCCTTGGGTGCATCAACAGCATCTGTTGGTGCGGAATGTGATCTGGCCGGTCTGTACTTAAACGGGGAGGCTTTGAGGAAGCATGACATGTCCCACTCTTTCCCTACTCATCTGGAACCTCTCCCTGATGCTAACTACTATCCCTGGCAAACCAGTGACCTGTCCCTGCACTACCCGCACGCGAATTGCACAATAAGCCTGGGAGCCAGGATCTTAAATAGACACTGCCTGACCCAAGATGGCCAACAGAGTCGCATAAGGTGGCAGCATCCAACCAGATAGCTTCCCTAGTGAAACCATAGTAGAATCCAGGGGCAGACTGACCATTCGAGCACTCAGGCACTGCCTGAGGGCCTGGGGTCAGTAGGGGGCCCCATGAGATGCCCCTGGTACGTTTCATAGGCTTTTTTCATAGGCTTTTTTGGGTGTGGGTGAGGCGGGGCCCCATGATCCTTTATTGCCTGGGGGCCCCATGAGTTATCAGTCCGCCCCTGGTAGAATCATGTTCCTCTTGACTTCCTCCCCCTCTGCAATACCGTTGAAGTTGAACGCCGCCTGCAGTGGATAAAGTCGACTGCACCTGCCTACAAGAACACACATCTTTTTTATACAGGATAGGTAGGAGGCAGGGCAAGGGAACATTTGTAAGAATAAACTGTTAGATTTTGCCTTTCACTTTAAAATTATAGGTGGGCAATGTATACAAAAGCAGTGCTTGTCTAAGTTCTTCTTTAAAAGGAATCTATAGGCTATAGATTTTTTCTTCTCTCTCACTTTCAAATATCCTGTCCCTCGTTCCTCTACAGCTTCATTACCTACATTGAAGGTGGTGTGGTCAGAGTATGTCTTTTGCCTAATTATTTTTGCACCAGAAAATGGAAGTCTTTTCCATCTCATAAAGATGCGAATGTACAAGGATGCAATCACATATGCTCATTAAAAGAAATCAAAGCCAATCTGTCAATGTAGACTTCGGATTATGTAAATGCTAGCTGCAATGCTGTCAGGCTGGTTCATTGGTTTCAATAGTTCCTGGGTCACCTATCCAGAACAAGTAGGCATAGAAGGAGTTCCGACTTTGGTGACTGCAAGGTTATTATTTTGTCCATTCTTGTGCATTGGTAGGCCATTGAAAATTAATGGGCAGCCTTGTAGCAATGCATGTTATTGCAAGACACAAAGCGTATTAACACAATTTGAATGCATGATTGGACCCACAGTATTTTTTTCTATCTGAGTGAGAATCTACCAGTCTATTTACTGAGAAAAGCAGCACATTGCCTTGGTGGGTATATCAAAGCAGTCATTCATCAAAGTTTCATAACGGCACAGTACGAAATACAGACAAACTGAAATCTGAATAAAACACTTTATGAAACCACAGAAATGTAACTGTGAAAGTCACATAAAAATGTACGATCGTTTAACCTTTACAACTACTCAACGTGCACTCACTGAAAATACACGATGAAGATGCGATGCAAAACAGGGTTTCTGCTGTTGTAATCCTCTGTAATCTGGATTAATGTAGAATTAACACACTGGAATAATTGAAGGCAATGAAGAAGTTAGCAGGTGCTTTTCTTCTGCTTGAGCCACTTAAAACAAATTGAACTTCTTGGAATTCGTGAGAGAAGAAAGATTGGAATTGCCATCTGCTGAGAAGATTAAAGCTTGGAGCAAATAAGTGCCAGCGGTTGTGTCCGGGGACAGTCACCACTCCTTCTTCTAGTCACAATGAGACCTGGGTTTGGAAGAATGTATTAATTACGAATGCCAGATCCAAAAAAAACCTCTTGCTTCTG